GCCTCTAATTCCTGAACCTTCCTGGGTTCTGACCCCGCTTGCTTCCTGTTGTAACCTCCACTGCCACCTTCCTGCATTAAGTTGTCACCCTTTCCTTCTCTCTGTTAGAACCACAACTCCATTCACTTTCTGTCTTCATATATCGTGATTTGGAGAACAGCTGGAGCCCCTTTTGCATCCAGGTGGGAGCATGTGCTTCTACTTGTTCTTGGTGTTTTGCACAACTTGTGAGAGAAGCAGCAGTTCTTGGCTCTACCAGCTGGAAGCTGCCTAGATCCTCAAAAGCTTTTGTTTATAGAAACCTAATGGAGGTGGGTCATTTTCCCTTACATGGAGAGGAAGTAGGCCCTCAGCTAAAGAGTGTTACGTGGGCACCGGCTGGTGTGACACCCACATGCGCCAGAGGATCACACTTGACCAGCACCTCGCTCAGCCTCGCAGGGACCGTGGCATCCCCTGCTGGTTCCCACTTCCTGGCCACGTCCCCAGTTCTGGGAGACAGCAGCAGCCTTGTCACCTAAGGTTTCCTGTTTTTGACAGTATGGGACTGTGTGTGTTTTGTAAAGTTTGCATCCTCTGTGGGAGGCTTAGGGAATTTCCGGAAGATCACTGTTCACTGAAGCTGTGTGATGGTGGATCCCATGAAGGGTTGGAAGAAGAAAGGGTTAAAAAGCCAAAGCAGCTTCATCTCCAGCTCCTATCCTTTACCAGCCCCAAATTAGTCAGTGGTGGCTTTGTGGTCTCCTCCCCTCCCAGGCTCCATGCCTTGTCAGCTGACTTTCTGAATGCCCTGTTTACCATCCTACAGCCTCCATCCCTGGCTGAATTATTCTGATGGTGGCTGTCTTGGGTGCCACCTCTGCTGGCACTTAGATTATGGATTTTATTAACTGAAATGAGGATTTTTATTTTTACATAAGTGCACTAGCCATAGGATAAAGGGCACATTGTTGATTTCTTTTTCTCTTTTAAGCGTAATTACTGACTTTTCAAATGCTGGGGGCTACTTCTGAGTATGTACCCTGAAGAATTGAAAGGAGGGTCTCAAGATATTTGCACATCCATGTTCCTAGTAGCATTATTCACAATAACCAAAAGGTAGATGCAACCCGAATGTCTGTGGATAAACGAAATTGGTATAGCCATACAATTGAATGTTATTCAGCCCTAAATGGAAGGAAATTCCCACATGGGGTCCAACCATGTAGATGAACCTTGAGGACATTATGCTAAGTGAAACGAGCCAGTTGCAAAAAGACAAATACTGTATGATTCCACTTATTTGAAGCACCGAGAGCAGTCCGGCTCAGAGAGACAGAAAGTGGAGCGGTGGTTGCCAGGGGCTGGGAGAGGGGGGAGTTGTTTCCTGGATAGAGTTTCAGTTTGGCAGGATGAAAACAGTCCTGGAGATGGGTTGTACAACCACGCGGATGTACTTACACTACTCAACTGTACATTTTAAGATTAGTTCAGATGGTAAGTTTTATGTTATTCCTGTTTTACCACACTCGTTTAAAAAATTGCGGAGGGCTAGTGACCTTGAAAGAACCTCCCCAGAAGCTGCTGACCTCCAAGTTCTTTTTTTTTTAAATTAATTTATTTTATCTATTTATTTTTGTCTGCGTTGGGTCTTGGTTGCTGCGCGCGGGCTTTCTCTAGTTGCGGCGGCGAGCGGGGGCTACTCTTCGTTGTAATGTGCAGGCTTCTCGTTGTGGTCGCTTCTCTTGTTGTGGAGCATGGGCCCTAGGCCCGCGGGGTTCAGTAGTTGTGGCACATGGGCTCAGTAGTTGTGGCTCGTGGGCTCTAGAGTGCAGGCTCAGTAGTTGTGGCGGACGGGCTTAATTGTTGCATGGCATGTGGGATCTTTCCCGGACCAGGGCTCAAACCCATGTCCCCTGCATTGGCAGGCAGATTCTTAACCACTGTGCCACCAGGGAAGCCCTCCAAGTTCTTTTTTGAGACGATTGAATCTCCAGCTCTTAGGTTCAACTCCAATGGGGCCAGTTCCCTACTCTGTGGTGAACAAACCAACGAAAAAAGCCAAGATGGTATTAAGGAGTTTGGGATTAGCAGATATAAACTCTTATATATAAAACAGATTAAAAAGGTCCTACTGTACAGCACAAGGAACTGTATTCAATATGCTGTGATAAACCATAATGGAAAAGAACATGAAAAGAATGTATATATATGTATGTATGTATATGTGTGTGTGTATATATATGTGACTGAATCACTTTGCTGTACACCAGAAACTAACACACTATTGTAAATCAACTATACTTCAATAAAAATAAAGAAAAAAATGATGGACTTCCCTGGTGGTCCAGTGGGTAAGATTCCACCCTTCCACTGCAGGAGGCGCGGGTTCGATCCCTGGTCAGGGAAGTTCCACATGCCGTGCAGTAAAGTGCCAGGCCGTGAGAACTAAGAAACAGAAAAATGGTCCCATCTCTGAAGCCAGGACGTCCTCCCTCAAGGAGAGGGCTCCGTTGTTCTCCATTTGTAGCCCACTGGGCTCATAGGCACACAGCCCTTCATGGTACAGGTGAGGCCCGAACGGCGGGGGGCCGGAGGCAGGCACAGAGGGTGAGGTGCACAGGGCCACCCGGCTGGTTGATAGCAGAGCCTAACATACAGCGCCGTTCTGTGTGCTTTGCTGTCCACGCCTCCCCCTGGGAAACGTGAGCTCTGAGCTTTTGTCTTGCTGGTGATGAGGGGCAGGGCTGTCAGCCTCAGCAATACTGCCTCTCAGAAGAGGAGAGCAAGACTGGGCGGCTGCCTAGACAGGCCCGAGTCTGACTGGGACAACTCAGCAAGGAGGCAGAGTTCACCTTGGGTATTTCTCACCATCCTCTGCTCTCCAGTAGCCCGGGTCATCCTCAGCACTGGAGCCCAGTCTTATTAACTCACATCAGAGCTCAGATGCAAACCGGTCCCTCTCCTGGCTCCAAGGGTTAACAGAGAGGCACTGCTCAACATCGAGAAATGAATCTCAGCTCTTGGAATGTCACTCAGCAGAGCCATTAAGTGAGGGACGTATTTCAGGGCTGTTGATAAGGAAGGGCATTCCTGAAGTCCTTGCATCCTGGTTTCTAAACTGGGGCCATTCACCGTCCGTCTGCAGTCTTTATTTATTTATTTTTTCATTGGAATATAGCTGATTTACAATGTTGTGTTAGTTTCAAGTGTACAGCCCAGTGATTCAGTTATGCAATACATATATATATAAATCTATTCCTTTTCAGATTCTCTTCCATTACAGGTTATTACAAGACATTGAATATAGTTTCCTGTGCTGTACAGTAGGCCCTTGGTGGTTATCTATTTTATATATAGTAGTGTGTATATGTTAATCCCAAACTCCTAACTTATTCCTCTCCCTCATCTGCAGTCTTTTATTTATTTATTTATTTATTTAGGGCTGCATTGGGTCTTCGTTGCTGCACGCAGGCTTTTCTCTAGTTGTAGCGAGCGGGTGCTACTCTTCATTGCAGTTGTAGCGAGCAGGGGCTACTCTTCATTGCAGTGCGCGGGCTTCTTGTTGTAGTGGCTTCTCTTGTTGCGGAGCACGGGCTCTTGGTGCGTGGGCTTCAGTAGTTGTGGCACACGGGCCCAGTAGTTGTGGCTCGCGGGCTCTAGAGCGCAGGCTCAGTAGTTGTGACTCACAGGCTTAGCTGCTCCGCAGCATGTGGGATCTTCCCAGACCAGGGCTCGAACCCTTAAGTGGTCAAGTGGATTCTTAACCACTCCACCACCAGGGAAATCCCCCCTCTGCAGTCTTTATCATACTTTGCATTCTACTTGTACATATATTTAATATTTCTTTTTATATCACCTTCTCTTTTAAATTTAGTTTTTATTATTACATATATCATGTAATATATAACATACTATTACCATATTCAATTATATCCTATTTTATTTATTAAAAGGAAGCTTGATATCACAACTGTATATGGAAAAACCAGACTCACTTGCTGTAAATAGAAGGTAGCTATAAAAAGAAACATAATGACAAGAAGACAGTTTTAAATTCTGGCTAGATTCCTCTGCCTGGTGATGGCTAGGAGCCTGGGGCCTGCTCCTGTTGAGAAGGGAGCCGTCAGCAAATGTTCAGGAGGTGTTATGTTACTAGGACCACGCTGGTGCTTCTGAGATAATCAGGATTAAACAAGGGCCCAACGGGAGTAACCTCGGTCTTCACTTTGTTTGAGGAATCAGCTGGCCTCCCACCAGGCTCCTGGGTCCTCTGCTTGAGAAAACACTCCCTTTTTAAGGAGTCTCCCAGGCAGCTGCCCTCATAGGAGGGGTCCTGGGTGCTTTAAGGATAGTGAATCATAAGACATGGTTCCTCACCCTAGGGTGACACTTGAGAAAGGAGAGTCACCCTCTCTCCTGTGTAGAAGCCCTGAAGTGCAGGGACGCATCGGAGCAGATAGGTAAAGGATGCTGGGGGCGGGGGTGTCTCAGGGGAGATGGGCTGAGTGAAGAGCGGCGTGGGGCGGGAGGGCTTGAGTCCAGACAGGAAGCGTTCTCATTTTTTACTGGTTGGGGGGATCACTTGATTTTTCTCTTTGCCTCTCTGTAAAATGGAGTTAAAGATTCTGGATATCCCACGAGGGTGCTGTAAGGACAGAATTGAAAAATGCATAAAAAACGCACTTTCTCCGCTGTCGGATGTGATTGTCATGAGTGGCGACACCGAGCACAGGGTCTGGGAGTGAGTTGGTGGGCTGTGAGCAGCAAGCACAGGGGAGGATGGATGCGGTCAGGCGGCCACAGGATCGTCCGCGGGACGGGGAGCCGGGGCAGTTTGGTAGCAGCAGGGTCCTGGGCTGCAGCCAGGCATGAGTAAGCCTCACTCCTCCGTCCGGGCTTTTGCAGGAAAACCTGCCACCTGCGCTGCAGCCACACCTCAAAGACATGGGGGAAAACAGCAGGCTGGCGGGGAGCGGGCGGTCCGCCATGGCGTTATCAATGTCCCCGCCCCCTGCCAGGTACCAGGATCATCTACGACCGGAAGTTCCTAATGGAGTGTCGGAACTCACCTGTGACCAAAACGCCCCCGCGGGACCTGCCCACCATTCCCGGGGTCACTAGCCCTGTGGGTCATGAGCCCCCTACAGAAGCCAGCCAGGACCACCTGAGCAGCAGCCCAGAGGACAAGCCGGCGGGCGGTGAGTGGCCGGGCTCGGCCAGGCTCTCCCTGGGGAAGGGAATGCGTGTGGTCCCATCCACTCAGGGGGAGTTACAGGGAGGGGAATGATGCTTCTGCTTGGAACTGCCCAGAGTCCAGAGGGTGCGGGTAGGGACTGGAGTGTAGAACTTTCATCGGAACCAGCTTTCCCAGGGAAAGGGGCCCAGGAACCGGAGGAAAGGCGATGTGGCCTCAGATAATCTCATTAGTGGGGAGCTTGCCAGGGGATCACGCAGCCACTTTGATAAGCACTTTAATAACCTTTGTGTAATTGTCCCTGAAGTGTTTCCGTGTGTCTGTGATACTCGGAACCCACCCACGATATTTGTGGGCAGGAGGTGACATCAAAGTCACTGCGTCCTCACCCTCTAGGAAATTACATGTCTGTGGGATCAGAAAGGCATCCGGGATGCCTTCTGTTAGGGTGTCCATAGCGGATTCTGGAGACTGTAGAAACAGTGCAACCAGTTGTTTCTGCAGGTACCACATGGGGTAGCTGGGTCCTTCCTGGTGTCCGTTCCCCACACCCCCTGCCAAGCGATCAGAGCAGCCACCCCGACAGAGGCGTGTGAATGCCCTCTTTGTGGCATCGGCACCGGCTGGCCGGAGCATCTGTGCGCTCCCGCTACGTGGAGGACGCAGCATAAGCACTCGGAGACAACCTGAGTCAGCCTGGAGGCCGCTGACCCTTCACCCAAAGGCGGTACACCAAGCCCAGACAGGAAGCAGCTGGGACCTCAGGCTGGGCTGGCTGTGCTGACAGCAGCAGAGAACCCATCTCCCCAGAACTCATCGCCTGCAGGATGTGGTTCATTATTAACTCGGGAACCCCACCTCCCAAGACAGGCCCCAGTTGCCTTGCCTTCAGACTTGGAGAGCCTTGGAGGGAAGGAAGGTGGACTCGGGCACAGAGAGCGCAGTAGGAAGGACGGCCCCAGGCAGCGCAGTTCCCTGCCCTTTGTTACAGGATGGAGAGAAGGAGGGATAGAGTCACGTGGTCGGTCCCCCTGCTTAAACCAAAGACTGGTAGTTGAGGATGGAAGGTTATCAACACCTGAAATGGTTGTGTCACCACTACCTGAAGGCTGTCCATCGCCCGCACTTGCACACCCTCTTCCCTCCCAGTTTCTAGAACTGCTGTGGCCCATAACAAATGCAGGTTAGCCCAGCAGTGCCCCAGGCCGACAGCCCTGACCCCACAGTAACAGCCTAGTGGTCTGCATGGTTGTTGGGATGGGGTGTAGTGGAGGAGGGGGACATGATTTTCCATTTTGCTTAACTGGCTATGAGAAGCCAAGGCTCCTGCCCTTGGACCCACATATTTGTGGGTAGACGAGGGTAGTTGTTCCCCTCTGGGCGTCACAGCAGGCATCCTGCCCTGTGGAACTTTGGAGCAGCCTTGGCCAGGAGACCGTGAAGGAGGCAGTTACATTAAAAAGGAAAACAAGGGAATTCCCTGGCGCTCCAGTGGTTAAGACTCCACGCTCCCAGTGCAGGGGGCCTGGGTTCAATCCCTGGTCAGGGAACTAGATCCCGCAAGCCACAGCTAAAAGATCCCTCACACGGCAACGAAGATCCCGAGGGCCACAACTAAGACCACGCACAGCCAAATAAATAAATTAATTTTTTTAAAAAAGAAAAAAACAAGCTGCTGCAGCATGAATTACTTGAAAATTTTAATGGTAAGAGTTGGACAAGGGCAGTGAGTGGCTGAATTACCCAAATAACTTCTGTATCGCAGGGTCAGGCTGTTCTGTGGGGAATCGGATGCATGCCTAGTAGGTCAGGGTACCACTTTCTAAACAAGAAGTTGGGACATGTGCTCAGAAAGGACTTACGTTTAAGAAACATTTGGGAAGTTGTATTTATTTCAAATCACAAGGAGCCATTCACTCTTATTACAAAATTCAGGGCTGTCACCTCTCCTGTGGGGAGACGTGGTCTCTGTGCTTCATTTGGGATTGGGGGAGGGAGCACAGCTGGACGTGTGTTTCCAGGAATTCCTGGTCCTGCCCTCTCTCCATTCTCCTTGGAAGCACAAACCTGGCCCTGCTCTCCTTGTGGGAACAGCAGAATGGGAAACCACGCCTCTTCTTGGCCTCTAGAATGTCAGCGCTACCACATGCCCATGGCTCACCTGGCCCTCTGTCTCTTCTCTCCCCAGGTGAAGAGTCACAATTTGAGATGGACATTTAAAGGGCCAGCCGTCGGAGTGAGCAATGCCGCTTGGGCCCCAGAGGCCCGTCTCGGGAGAAGAGTCACACCAGCCAGGCTTTGTGAAAGTTACCATCCTGGGCAGCTGTCCGTGTGGAGCCTTCCAGCCCCGCCCGCTGCTCCCTCGCTCAGGGCACCTGCTCCCCTCCCCCTTCGTGGACACCAGCAGATACCTCCGTGTGCCTCCAGCCCTGCAGGAGCTGTCATCCCGAGGGCAGTGACCTCAGGCACACCCTGCAGCCCAGGGCCAGCTAGTGGACATGCTCCGGCTCTCCCAGCCCCCTCCTCCGGGGGGCGCACCCACCCCTTCCTCAGGTTGGTGTGTGGGAAAGCTCCCCTCCCCCTCCCTTCCCAGGAAAGGAAATAAAAGCCTTCGCCCTAGGGCCAAAAGTTGGCCCCTGTCTGAGCTCTTTTCACCTCCATGTGGATAGCTAATGCCTACTACTCTGTACCATGCTTGTCAGGCGCTTTCTATACAGCATCTCACTTGACCGTCACACGGATCCCATGGGGTGAGTAGAGCACGTGTTGGCCTCGCTGTCCAGCTCGGGAAGGTAACAGCACACGCGGGTCCAGGACAGATGTCATCGGGGCAGGGTTGGAGCTCTACTACTCTCCATCTCCTGTTTTGCGGTGCTAGGTGCTACCTCTTTTCTGGGCTGTGTCGCCCCCAAACGTGTCCAGTGGCTCAGTCACCTTAGCTCTGCGGGCCCTTCCCTGCAAGCATCAAAGGGAAGGAGAGCCTGACCCCCCGCTGACATCGACTTACTGATCCACGTGCCCCTGGTGTCTGTCAAGTGTCCCTTTGTATGAGCTGCCAGGGGAACACGGACGTGAGAAGCTGTCTGCCTTGGGGATTTCACTGAAATGTAAGATTTGCCTATGAGACAAGGTAGCGTAAAAGAGGTTGTATAGGGTTGGTAACCAGCGAGTGGTCCATGCAAGGGGAGGCTTCATGGAGGTGATGCTACTGCTGGGTCCTGAGAATGACTGGCTGGGGGGAGGCAGGGGCCCATGTTGCCAAGGGCAGGTGGTCTTGGGGAACCAGGCTGTACAAGGACAAGACATCAAGTTCCCCACTTTGGCCAGAGCGGGCAATTTGTGAGGGTAGGGGTGGCTTATGAATGACCAAAAAAGGGGGGCCAGATTTCTAAGGGCCCTGAATGCCAGGTAGAGGTCCCTGCTGAGAAGCAGCAGGTGTTTCTCATCACGGGGTATGCTGGGGGGGGTGGCCTTTGACCACGAGGGCATGGCTGACCTGGGCCTCACCAGCTCTGGATTCAGCACTCGTCAACCTGCCGTTTGGGGAGCAGAAGGCCTTAGTGGCCAGGTCCCTTGCCTGTTTTTTGTTTGTTTTTTTTTTCGGTACGCGGGCCTCTCACTGTTGTGGCCTCTCCCGTTGCGGAGCACAGGCTCCGGACGCACAGTCTCAGTGGCCATGGCTCCCAGGTCCAGCCGCTCCGCGGCACGTGGGATCTTCCTAGACCGGGGCACGAACCCGTGTCCCCTGCATCGGCAGGCGGACTCCCAACCACTGTGCCACCAGGGAAGCCCCTTGCCTGGTTTTTTTCTATAGCTGAGTTGGAGTCTCCTCTCCTGGCAAAGAATGTGACGGCAGCTGGAATCCCTGTGCCTGGTGACAGTGTGCAGAAGGACCCGGCCGTGGGGACATGTTGACTCTAGGCACGCAGCACATCCTTTTCCCATGGCTAGGGAGTAAGATGGTGGAGGGGCCACCACCTGAGCAAAGGCAGCAACTAAAGCCCCAACTAGGATCAAACTAGAGATTGGCCCAGTCTTCCCAATGCCTCAGCTTTTCCCCTAGAAGCGTCTCCCTCTCCCCTTCTGACATGCAACCAGAGGCCTTGCTCACAAGTCTACATGATCACAAGTGCATTCCCCTTCTTGGTCCTGCCTCTCAGGATCCAAGGGACAGAGTATAAAAGTTGGCCTCTCAGGGGCTTCCCTGGTGGCGCAGTGGTTGAGAGTCCGCCTGCTGATGCAGGGGACGTGGGTTCGTGCCCCGGTCCGGGAAGATCCCACATGCCACGGAGCGGCTGGGCCCGTGAGCCATGGCCGCTGAGCCTGCGCGTCCGGAGCCTGTGCTCCGCAACGGGAGAGGCCACAAAAGTGAGAGGCCCGCGAACCGCAAAAAAAAAAAAAAGTAAAAAAAAAATGATGGCTTAGATATACACTGGTTGACATAGAAAGATATTCTCAATGTATTGGATTGAGTTATTTAAACAGCATGTTATAAAACACTATAAATATTCAAATGTTCTAATCTATTTTACAATGTCTTCATTACTTTTTAGTTACTTTTGTAATAAAATAACTAGTCGTATTGTGGATAATAGATAAATGAGCAAAGTACTGAGATAATTCACAAATGAAGAAATAAAAATGGCCAATAGGGACTTCCCTGGTGGCACAGTGGTTAAGAATCCACCTGCCAATGCACGGGACACAGGTTCGTGCCCCGGTCCGGTAAGATCCCACATGCTGCAGAGCGGCTGGGCCCGTGAGCCATGGCCGCTGAGCCTGCGCGTCCGGAGCCTGTGCTCCGCAACGGGAGAGGCC